CAATGTCTAAGACTTCTTTTCATTTTCTTTGGTGTTCTGCAGTCCCACTGCTGTGTAGCTTTATTTTTTAATCTATCCGTAGGCACTTTAAGTCTGTAGATACAGAATTTTTCCAGAATTAAAGACAGCAATCAGTTACTCCCGTTTATCTCCAGTTCACTAGTGAGTTTTTCGACTGTCTTCGTACTGCTCAGTCTGTTGTTTAATGGTGTTTATTTCCGAAAGTTCTACTTCTGTCTTTCTCCAGATCTCCAGCACCGCCTTCTTGTCATTTGCTGTTCCCTGTGTTCCGCATCATTTACCGCCATTAAAAGTGAGCGGAGGCGTCCCCTCCCCTGCGCGCAGCCTTGAAGGCAGAGTCTTCACGTGAGCCTCCTCCTGCTCCTTGTCTCTGCCCATTCTTATGAACTCCTTCTTAGTGCTTTGCTTTTCTTCTTTTCTCTCTCTCTCTCCTCTCTCCCTCCCTTCCCCCATTTCAATTTTGTTTTCTTTTCCGTGGCGCTGAGGGACTTAACTCGGGGTTTTTTGCACTGAGCCTTCTCCCTCACCTTTTTATTTGTTATTTTGAGACCGGGTCTCTCTGAATTCCCCAGGCTGGGACTGAGGCTCCTGCTTCAGCCTCCCAGGGAGTTGGAATTACCGGTATGCGCCACCGCACCTGACTGCATGTGGGGATTTTTCCGGTATGGGATGCAGATATTTCTTCCAGAGTAAATTTGTGCCTTCTCCTGCCAGGTGTGTTGCACAAATCTCGGCTTAAAGCCATTTTAAATGAAATTCACCTACTGTGAAGTCACGAAACTTCTCACAGATGGGAATTTCGGCTGTGAATCCATACGAGGCCATCTTAAGCTTACTGCTCTGTGGCCAGGGGTAGGGGGTGCATTCATCACGCCGCATGGGGCTGGCCTTGGACTTGGAAACAGAAGCCCAGGTTTGCTTTCAGTCAAAAGCAGCTACCATCCTTGACTTACTCCGTGGGTCGTGCTGTTCTAGGTGCTGCTTGTTCCTCACTGTCCCCTCAGCATCCTGATGCCTTTAAGACGAGACCCTAAACTGGTCCTGTGTGCGCTCCTGTAATCCCAGCTGCTCAGGAGGCTGAGGCAGGAGGGATACGAGTTCCAGACCAGCTGGGGCCTTGTCGTGACGGCAGTGCCTGTAATCCCAGCACTTGAGAGGCGGCTCACAAGGTCATTGCAAGAGTCTGTCTCAAAACAACAAGACCATGATAGATGTTTACATCTGTAATAATGAAAGAAGTGTGAACTATTTTCAAAGATTTTCTTCTTAAATGTTCTCCAGGGTGTTTCTAGACAGAGCAAAGAAGTGAAAACAATTGATTTTTGGCCTGTGTCTCTTTTTTCCAGCTGATCTTTGACATGAAGAACGGAATATAAAAATAGTGAGAAATCTGCACCAATAAGTATTTCTCTACATCTTGTTAAAACAGGCTGTTATGACTATACTGAAGAGGGATATGGATGAATACGGACCCATCAGGAAACGTCCAAGAGTAAAAGAGCAGTGTGGTGGCCTTAAGAACAGACCCTGTGGAGCCTGGGGACAATGCAGGGGGCTGAGGGCGTGGTGGACAGAGCCATCGCTGTGCTGCACTCGCTCGTGTGGGCTCCGGGACCACACCGATGGGGCGTTTACAGTGGGCGGGGTGGTGACCTGGTCCTACCTGCTGTCTAGAAAAGCCAGTCTCTACTGTCTGATGATCAGACTGGTTATTCCAGGTAAATGGTAAAGGAATGCAAAGTCCTGGCTATTCCCTGTGCAAAGAAAACACTTGAAAGGAAAGCTGAAGATTTGTCTTCCAAAATGTTCAAAAAAGGAAATCTGTTTGTTTGTTTGTTTGTTTGAGACAGGATCTCACTATGTAGTTGAGACTGACCTGGAACTCACTGTGTAGCCCAGGCTGGTCTCGAACTCACAGTGATCCTCCTGCCTTAGCCTCCGAGTGCTGGGATTACAGGTGTGCGCCACCACACCAGGCTAAAGGAGATCTTTTAACTGTGAGTTTTCTTCCTACAATATTTTATAAGGTTTGGGTATGAGAATCTTGTCTGTGAGATTTGAACAAATTTCAGTGAAAAGTATCTTAATGTAAAAATGTGACATACTTGGTATATAATTTAAAAGATCACGGGAAACTTTGGTTTTAGTATTAAATCTGGAATAGAGTGGAAGGTGAATAAAAACTTCCACACTATCAGCAAGATTCCCTATTTGTTGTTCATCCCTGCATGTCATGTGTTTTATTTAATTGTTTTTATTTGTTTTGTTTGCAGTTTGTAGTTTACATTTTCTTTTTTATAGACGGATGTATTCATAAAGCTCGCTAACTGGAAAAAACCCCTAGGGTTTATTTTCCTTAAATTTTATAACTGTCCCTAGTATCCACCCATAAGTAGATAAACACCCATCCACTGACACACCCCTCTTGATAAGAGAAGGGGCGCTCTCATTACCGGTCGTTCTGAGTCAGGAACTCACCCTCACACCGGAGACGAGGGGAGAGTTGGATTCATGCCTCCCTGGACGGCACGGAGGAGCTGCACTGTTGTGAGTAAGACAGCTGTGCGTGGACAGAGAACCATTCTTAACAGTCGTTATTATTGACATAACACAGCCCCTTCCAGAAGAAGGCGCAGGGTCACTGTACAGTGCCCACATAACGCGTGCGCGTATATTGTGCACTGTATATTGTGTGAACATACGAGTAAAGCTTTGTAGACGTCGCTCAGTGCTCTTTGGGTTCAAATCCCAGGGCTGCAGGCAGTCAGCAAATGAAACGTCCTTTCGTTTTGACAGCACGTTTAGGTTTCTCGGTGGGAGAGTTCGTCCAAATTTGTGGCATAGCACGGTTTTACAAACGGGAGTTGGTTTTTGTGAACGCTCAAACCATCTTTTTTTTTCATTTAGCGTTTACTTTTTAAATCCAGACTCTCTGGTAGGCATCACGTGGCTAGATGTTGAGTATGAGCAGGCTTGGAGCGCGCACATGTGCCCGCATGTGACACACCTGACACACCTAACCACGCACTGTGCCAGACGCGCCTCGGCGGCACAGCGCAAAGTCCCGAGTTCGATCCCCGGTCCAAGAAGAAGAAGGAGGAGGCACCTCAGAAGTCTGCGTCACCCGAGACAGCCTGGGCGGAGCTGGCCGCTGCCCTGCGCTCAGGGCAGCCGTGCGCCTCTGCCTGCGGCCCAGCGTGGTGGGGACAGGCTCAGGTGACCGCAGCACCCCAAGAGTCGGGAGCCTCCCCTGCTGTGCTGTTTGATGAGCGCTTCAGGCACCGAACTGCAAATCAGTAAGGGGAGGGTGGGCAACTGATAGAAAAGGAACAAAGACTTCGGACAGGGACGTCACGCAGGGGGACGCATGTGCACTCGCAGGAGCCACCGGGTGAAGTAAATGAAAACTACAAGGAGATGCTGTCTTCCACCTGCTGGGCGGTAAAAATTTAAGACGTGGACCACGTCAAGTTGTGAGGGAGGAAGGTGAGTGGGGACTCCTCTGCGGCAGGGAGGCTCTTTGTCGCCAGTGTTTCGGAGCGCGGGTGCGCGTGTCCCAGGAGGGTGCTGTCCACGGCCGCACCCTGCAGGGGACCAACCTGGAGCCCCCGGGTGCACAGGGAGGGAGGAGCCCAGCTGCCCTGCCGTGAGCAGACGACAGCCTCAGCGCAGAGAGGGAAACACCGGCTGGATCAGGTGTCTTCTCAAGACCCAAGCCGGTTCCATCGGGGCGGCGGGCACGGGGAGATGGTGTTGTCTGCAGCTCACACGCGTTAGAGGGTGGCTCTCCAGTGTGAGTGTCTGGGCAGTGAGGAGAGCCGCTGCGTCCAGGACAGGAGGGGCACGGGAAGAGGAGGCCACACTGGCCGGTGCACCAAGCACAAGGGGGCACAGGCTCTGGGGCCAGAGCCACTGCGAGTCCTCAGCTCATGGGGGAACCCTTTTCTGTTTGCTCCGAAGGAAATCCTTGTGTGCTCACCTTTCCTGCAGGGTGTCTGTCTCAACAAGTCAGCTCCCGCGCCGGGGAAAGGATGGCTGAATCGGCCGTGGACTCCCCTGCTTGGTTCCTTTGATGTTATTTTAAATATGCAAAGATGCTTTTCAAAAATAATCGTGATAAATATTTACGACACCTACCATCTTAACCATTTTTAAATGTGTAATTTTGCATATCTTTGTAGCATCGTTTCCGCGGCCCATTTTTAAGTAAGATTTGACTGGGCATGGTAGTACACGCCTGTAATCCCAGCACTCAGGAGACTGAGGTTGGAGCACTACTGCAAGTTCAAGGTCAGCCTGAACTACAAGTGAGACCCTGTCTCAAAAAGTCCGTCAGGGTTGTGTGTGTGTGTTGGTTGACTGAAGTTTATATATTTTGGATATTAACAGTGTATCAGATATACTTGAAAATATTTTCTTCCATTCTGTTGGTTACTTTAATACCCTGTTGTTAAAAGTCCTTTGAGCTGGGCGTGGTGGCACACACCTGTAATCCCAGCACTATGGAGGCTGAGGCAGGAGGATCGCTATGAATTCAAGACCAGCCTGTTAGCCTCAACTACATAGTGAGACCCTGTCTCAAAAAAATGGAAAAAAAATTCCTTTGAAGCACAAACGTTTTAAATTTTCATAAAATGTCATGTATCTGTTTTTTTCCTTTGTTGCCTGTGATTTCGGTGTTGTATCCAAGGAATCGTGGCCAATCTAGTATCATAAAAGCTTCTCTCTCTCTCTCTGTATGGTTTCTCTAAGATTTTGTAGTTTTAGCTTTCACACGTGGGTATCTGATTCATTTTGAGTTCATTTTTGCCAGCTCTTCTTTCGGGTGTGGAGACCCAGTTTCCCCAGCGCTGTTTGGTGAAAATACGACCCTGCCCCCCGCTGGATAGTCTGAGTTCTTTTTGACTATAGATCATAGACCATTTGACCGTATGAGTTGGTACGTTTTGAAGGTTTCCTTCGGGACTGGTAAGACCGAAGATGAGCTAACGCCGGCCGGCTCCCTCCCTCACGCCTGTCACTGGGCTTCCATTTGGGATGGGCCCAGCTGCTACTTCTTCCTGTCCTCTAGAGCCAAATGGCGCACGGTGGGCGTCGTCAGGTGCTCTTCTCAACCCTTCAGGTGTAGAAACAGTGCCCCGCCACGTCCGCCTGGCTGTGGGGCGGCTAAGAGTTTCCGAGTGCAGATGCCGGTGTGACTGGAAGTGCAGCTCGCACAGGCCGGGGTCCAGTCCCGGCACCACAAACGTGGTTCGGTTGTGAATTTCTGGGCCCGTTCCTTCGCCATGCTTCACGACGTGGACCCTAAACGCAATTCTTCACCACCTACAGTCCACCCCAGCGTCACTCGGGCAGCGCTTCCGTTTACGTCCCGGCCACCTGGAGTGTCACTCGGCCGGGCGTCACTTCAGTCGCTTGATACTTGTATTAAGTAAATTCGATAAAATTGTCACTTTTCTATTTCCCGTTATAAAAGTTAGCAAGCACAGGCGGCTTTTGGCCATCCTGTATCTCAGTCATTGCACCGGGTAGTGGTTGTGCATCTCATTCTCCCTGTGACCCTCGGCTCTGTCTGATCTGTTGACAGGTTGTGAGGTTTTCTCTCCTCCCAGCGGTGTGGACAGCGCCACACACCGTCCCACACAGCAACGGCTCTTGTGCACATCCTCCAGTGCTGCTTTTGTCACAGAGCCCGGCAGAGCCACGGTCCTTCCAGTGTGAGCCCTGAGCCGAGTGAGGAGCTCGCAGCAGACATGGTGAAGGTGACCAAGTCCAGAACTTTCCAAGCTTACCTGCCGAGCTGTCACCGCACGTACAGCTGCGTCCACTGCAGAGCCCACCTGGCCAACCACGACGAGCTGATCTCTAAGGCAAGTGCTTTGCACCCTGAAACTGGTGAAATGCGCTGCCACGGCGGTTCTTTGCCACTCTGGTTCTTGCTTAGTAGCTGAATGTTTAACCGTTACTGACTTCTGAACGATTTACGTATAAATGTGGCCAGGCTAGGTCTTGTGGTGATTTTGGCAGTGGTGTCACAAGGCCGCCACAGGACTTCTGTAAATCAAGAAGGAGATGAGGCCGTGATTTGTCAGAGCCGAGTTAAGAGAACATCGAAGAAATGAAAGCAATCTAGAAAATCTTTATTTATAAGCTATTTAGAAATAGTTTAATAAGAAATTGAGAGAGTCCTTGTTTTTTCAGTGCTGGGGATTGAACCAAGGGCTGCACACATGCTAGACAAGTGCTCTACCTCTGAACTACATCCCAGCCCAAGAACTTTTTCAAAAACTCAGAATAGTTAAGGAAGAACATCGGGCATGGTGGTGCACACTTGTAACTCCTGCATTGAGAGAGGCTGAGACGGGAGCATCACAGGTTTGAGTCAAATTTAGTGACTCAGTCCCTGTCTCAAAATAAGAATGAAAAAAGGGCTGGGATTACAGCTCAGTGGTACCGCACTCCCCGATACTCCCCACCACACACGCACACAGAGGCTGCTCAGAAAATAGCCCAGGGCTGGGGGTGTAGCGCAGTGGTAGCAAAGCTCCCAAACACCAACTATCCACAAGGCCTGACCACCGGGGTTGTCGCTAGGGACAGGGCCAAGAACTCCCTTAGAGGTGGAAGTACCGAACCTTCCCCTTCCTCCTCTATTAGCAGTGTGTGATGTTTAGGCTCAGCCAGGTGGGAGCAGCTGGAACAACCCAAAAGGGATGAACGGATCAGCCTTCCCGGAACGCGGTCCTCACCTGCCCCGCCTCGAGGGCCGTCACTGACTCCTCCCAGCAGCACCAGACCGTGTGAAGGTGCCGCAGGAGGCTGCCCCTTTCCTGCATCTCTGCTTCGGCTTCTGTTTAACTTACTTAGAAGGACGTCGTCTTAGTAGTAATAAGAGGTTGTCTCATTTCTGTTCATCTGGAGTAAAAATGGCAAGGGCAGTTTGTGCTGTTTCTGCTGTCATGTTGCTCCCGGCTGCTTTGCCTCTGTAGAGGGTTCAGGAAAGCAGTCTTCTTGGGCACCTTGTTTTCCAACGCCATCTTAGGGCGTGAACCGGTGTCATGAGGGATTGACAGCCATGACCTCCCCGCAATGCATGGTCAAGGTCAGACACCATCATCAAGTGGAGAATTCTGAGTGTATTCATCATTAGGGGAGCCGGAAGAAATCTGAGATGCTTCTTTCAAAGAACCTCCATGCCATTAACTGTTCTTAACTTTACCTCAAGCGCACAAGCTAGCTCAGAAGGGAGTGGAAAGAAACCATCATCCATAGCATTCAGAGTGGGAAGATTCCCAGAACCAAACTCCGGGCCCCCAGGCTGCCATCACATGTGAGGCCTTGCATTGGAGCTGATGCGAAGATGACAGGGACAGGAAACTCTTCCTCTCGTGTCGTTATTCCAGTCAGAGGACGTGATCAAAACATTAAAGGAACAGGTCCGGGGACTTAGCACAGCGGTGCCACCACCTGCCTCCACAAGCTTAAGGTCCCGAGTTCAACCCCTGGTACCAAAATAAATAAATATTAAAAGAATATTTTTTCCCAGTACTGAGCTGTGTTTTCAACCCTTTTTATTTTTTACTTTTTTTGAGACAGGGTCTCACTATGTCATTCAGGCTGGCCTTGAACTTGCTATGTAGCCCAGGCTGGCCTCGAACTCAGTGGCAATCCTCCTGCCTCAGCCTCCTGAGTGCTGAGATTACAGGTGTGCTCCACCACACCTGGCCCAGCCCTTTTTAAAACAGGGTCTTGCTAGTTGCCCGGGTTGGCTTCTAACTTTCCGTCAAGTAGCTGGCTTTGCAGATGGGCATCACTTGCCCGGCAGAACGTTTACTATGTGAAGTAGATTCCAGTACACTTGAGGCTGGGGTCCTTCCTCACAGGCGTTTGTTAGTTTCCGAGTCCATCTTTGTCACCCAGCTAGGAGTCCCCTCATCCAAGGGAGCCCCTTCTTGTTGAAGGCAGCTTCAGTTGCTAAAATGGCCTCTCTAGGCCGGGGATTTAGCTCAGTGGTTCTGCCTCCTGCCTCGTAAGCCCAAGGTCCCGAGTTCGATTTCCAGTACCTAAATAAATAAAAAGTAAAATAATAAAATGGCCTCTGTAGCTCCTGAGCCATGCGTGCAGTGTAGCCTAGCCTGACACCCCCACCTGCTTCTGTGTGCTTTTCTTGGGTCACAGGTGTGCTCACCTGTTTCCAGTCGCCTAAAGCTACTTTTTGCTTTGACAGAGTAGTTGTAACAGAGGCCCAGCAGCCTACAAAGCCTAAGCCATTTTATTTCCTGGCCCCGGTTTATAGCATCGGGTTGCCCTGTGCTCTGAGAAGACTAAAGTCTGACTCTGAATCATACACCTGCTCCAGTCGCTGATCCAAACCTTGGCAAAAACCTGAGGACGTGAAGAGGAAGCAAGATAATTAGGAAATTCAGTCTAAAAAGTTGACAGCTGATCAGGATGTGGAAAAGCCTATAAGACAATTAGTAAAATTCAATATAGAATAATATTCCTAATCTGCCTGAGGGCCTACTCCTTTTAAGTCTAAAAGCTGTTTGTATGTATGTATTTGTTTTTTGAGACAGTCTTGCTGTTATTTCAGATTGGCCTTGAACTCACTATGTAGCCCATACTGGCCTTGAATTTGAGGCAGTCCTCCTGCCTGAGCCTCCCAAGTGCTGGGATTCCAGGTATATGCCACCACACTCGGCATGTAAAAGCTGTTTTAAAAATTTGAACACTGGGCTGGGGATTTAGCTCAGTGGTGCCGGGCCTGCCTGGCAAGCATAAGGTCCTGAGTTTAATCTCCGGAACAAAACAAATAGAACAACGATGCGCTGAGAGCACCTCCGCGGTAGAGCATGTGGTTAGCATGTGGTTAGCATGTGTGAGGCCGTGACTCAGTCCCCACCGCGAATCAAATCCAAAAACACGCCTAGCACCTAGCAAGGTAGAAAAAGGCCTCTCGGTGCTTAAAACAAAGGTTGATGCTCAGGTGAAATAACTTAACAAGGGCCAACTGGAGGCTCTGCTTTTTTTTTAATTTGAGAAGACATTACGCTGATAATCACACATTAAAATAACATATTGGCACCAGCCACCTGGGAGGCCAAGGATCGCTTGAGCCCAGGAGTTCAAAAAGCCACATGCAGTGACACATACCTGTGATCTCAGCTGTTGAGGCGGGAGGCTCACAAGGTCCAATTAGCCTATTTCAAAATAAAATTAAAGAGGGCCAGGGGCTTGGCTTAATGGTTCCATGCCTGCCTCGCAAGCGCAAGAGCCCGAGTTCTATCTCCAGTACCAAAAAAAAAAAAGGCGGGAGGTGCCATGATTTTAGTCATTGGCAGAATGTTGAAGCGACAGCATTAGCCACTTCCTGCGTCATTGTAGACTCAAAAGCAGCTCGTGATATTTGGTGACTATTACCATCAGCGGTCGAGGCGGTGGAGTTTGAAGGGACTTTGAATCTGCTCTTTTGTCACCTGTCCGGGGGAGGCTGTGGAGCCTGTGAGAGGCTTCGGGCTGTCAGAGTGGTCGCCTCTCTGGTTCTTGCGCCCATGATCTCACCCCCCTCCCGGGTTCATTCCGGATGCAGAGAAGCCATCCTTGGGCCCTGGCCACAACCAGTCTTCTAACACCTGCTTCTTCTTTGCAGTCCTTTCAGGGCAGCCAAGGACGAGCCTACCTCTTCAACTCCGTGTGAGTACTTACGCGCTGCGGCCTGCGGTCGGGTAGATGGCGTTGGTCCACCTGGTCAGTGACTCGGAGCTGGAATCCACAGAGCAGTCCACCGCGGTCTCGAGTTACCTAGTCAGTGCCTGTATCTGACCCTGGTCCAGGAGTTTCCTGAAAGTGCTATTTTATTTGAGGATTTAGCCTGTCAGCCTGTTCTGTGTCGGCATTCTTCTGGGGATATAAAAAGTTATTCCTAAAACAGGACACAGTTTGAAAATACCGTTAAGATGTAAATGTAAAAAAAAGACGTTATTCCCAGGCCAGGGCTGGAGCTCAGAGGCGGACTGCGCACCACACCTGCAGGAGGCCTTGGGTCCATTCCCAGTGTCCGCACGCCCTCCAGAACAGTCGCTCCCTCTGCACGCAGGTGGTGGCCTGCAGCTCGCAGCTGAGAGGTGCAGTGCCCTCTCCCAGGAGTCCTCCCTGTTCCTGCTGGTCTTTTAATGACAAGAGCTGGGCCAGGGTGGGGGAGCTAGCAGCAGGCCAGGAAAGGGGGCCACCTGACAGCCACCCATGTCCCCACAGGGTGAACGTGGGCTGCGGCCCCGCCGAGGAGAGGGTCCTTCTCACCGGCTTGCATGCGGTCGCAGACATCTACTGTGAGAACTGCAAGACCACGCTTGGGTGGAAGTATGTGAGTACCGGCCTCTGATGTGGGCTGTGCAGTGACCACACCGCGCGGCGGGGAGATGGCATCACAGTCGGAGCCGACACACTTTCCAGGAGTTCCTCTGGAAGCCGGTCAGGGACGGTGCAGATCCAGGGCCCACCTTGTTCCCTGCGCTGCACGTGGCTACACGTGGGCCTGGGCCCCACAGCCCAAGGGGCTGCTGTAAGACCGCTCTCACCTCTGGGGCAGCCGGCCCTGCTGGGGTGGAGCAAAAGCCTGTCTGCCACCGGCGGTCTCTCCTCTCTCTGAGGCCGCACTTTCTCCCCAGGCCCGGAGCTGGAAGTTCCCTCCAGCCTTCGGCCTTCACGTCCTTCTCCCGCCCCCACCCACAGGCCTGGCGTCCCTCCCCACTGACCCAAGACTCTGAGGTCCCCTCCCTGCGAGGCCAGCACGGTGCTCACTCCCTGCTCCTGCCACTGTCCAGCGCCCGCTGTCATCTGCTGCGCCCTCCCTGCCCTGGGCCACAGCAGCTCGGCACCGTCCTGACCACCTCGTCGGGCAGCTTCCAAACATCCGCTGTGCCTGGCTTCTCTCCTAGCACTGCCACACCCTGGCTTTAGCGTTTGAGATGCCTGCTTTGCCTGGTGCCCTCCTTTCCTGAAAGCATCTCCCACATTCTTTCTGGCTTTGGAGTTCCTCGTGTCCAGGCTGCCTGCACTCCCTGGTTCTTGAACTCTTGACCATTTCTGGTCTCCCAGATTCCCCACACAGAGCCAGGCTCTGAAGCCTTCAGGGGTCCCCAGCACCTGCTCCATGCCCCCCCACAGCCCTGTCCCCCTCCACGGTGCTGTACCGGATGCATCTCTGTTGCTGCACCTGTCCCCGCTGGGCCATCTCTCCTGTCTGCCGGGCATGACTCCAGGCATCTGTGTCCTCAGCACCTAGCATGAAGCCACACACACGGTGTGACACGGTCCTTCCCCAGAGAAGGCCGGTGCTCACCTGAACACCTCTGACCTGTTTTTCCGTCATGTCGCTTTTATTAATGCCACTCTTGTCCACGCCTCCTGAATTGCACCACACATTCTGTCTGTCCTGTAAGCAGATCTCTGTGCCTGTGTGTGCTGGAGATGGAACCCAGGGCTTTGACTCACGCCAGGCAAGTTGGGAGGGCAGGACGATTGCAACTTAGCAAGACACTGTCTAAAGATAAAAATTGGAAGGGGTTGGACATACAGTTCAGTGGGAAGGCCCTGGGTTCGATCCCCAGTACTGAGGGGAAAAAAGAAAAAGGAAAAGCATGCCAGACAAGCACTCAAGCACTCAGCTCACCCCTGGCCCTGGTAAACACGGAACATTGCCCTGAGACCACAAGGAGCAACTGCGTGTGCCCCTCGGACGCGTCACCTGGGACACCCAGCACCCGGTCAGCACTTGGCTCGGGGATCATCTGCTACAGATGACACGAGAGATTTTTTTCTCTTTGCCAAGAGTGTGGAGAAGTTAAAAGATGAAACATATCCTGTCCTGAAACCTTCTCTCTCTGCTTTCCCCCCAAGGAACATGCCTTTGAGAGCAGTCAGAAATATAAGGAAGGAAAATTTATTATTGAGCTTGCCCACATGATCAAAGACAATGGTTGGGAGTAAAGTGGAAGTAACCCATTCGCTCTTGAATACTGTTTGTGAAAGACCGGGAACGTAACGGAGACAGAGAGCACCCTGGACGAGTGATTCTTGAACTGTAACCTCGCAGGCTGGCCACGCTGCAACGCCGAAGGCCTCTCCGGGTAAGGTGTCCCCGCCTGTTCTCGTCATCTCTACGGTTGTTGCTAGAAGTTTTCAGTGTTGTTCTTCTAACTTCTCAAGTTCTAGAGAACAAAATCAACCACTGACAACTGCCAAATGAGTCTTTTCTTACTGCCTTCCATATAGTGTTGCTCTTTCGCATCCAGTAGCAAACCGAGTCCCTCAGACCGTGCAGACAGGTCTCCTCCAACAGCAAGTGTCACATCTTTTTTTTTTTTAGAGGAAAGTACTGTAGTTTTCCCCCTGATTCTTGAAACTACAAGTTGGTTATTCCTCCTGCAGATGAACTGTGAAAACACAGTATCCATTTAAGAATCTTCTAGAAGCAGTCAACAAATTTATACACAAAGGACATTGTTTTTTAAGCCTATTTACAAACAGAACACCACCAAGAGCATTTTATTTTGTTTGGCTTTGGTACCGGGAATCGAACTCGGGTTCTTGCGCTTGCGAAGCAGGCCCCGGAACCACTGCGCTAAATCCCCGGCCCGATAGCATTTTAGATGAGCTATAAATAGAGAAGTGTATTAACAAATATCTTATTTATTTATTTAAGCCATTATCCACTATCTAGAAAGCAAGTGAACTAGTTGCTAGAGAAGACCACTCGGGGGCCTCCAGAGGCCGGGTTACTGAGGACACCGCCTCCTGGCTCTGGTCCTGGGGTGGTGCCCTCGGTGGTGACAGGCGCTCACATGTCCAGCACTGTCGAGTGGCTGATCTATCTTGTTAGAGGAGAGCATTCTGGACCAAGTGTAAGTCCAATTTCATTTTTAACCCTGGACGTACTTGAAGAAAAATAATTATTTTTGCCTACGAAAGAGGCCAGAACCAGCAGGAAAAACCTTCAAAACTCGAGATTGACAATATTGTTTTAAATTTTTCTCAGAAAAGGTCACAATTGCAAAGCAGGCTTAAGTATTGTAAAGAAGACATTTGGTTTGCCGCAAACCCTCCCTGCCTGGCCCTCCGGGCGGCCCAACGCACAGGAGCCTGCCTGTGTCGTCCCTCAAGGCTGTGTCTCTGTCGTGGACTTTGTCATGGGCTGCTGTCCTCCTGGGCGAGAATGAAGGCCAGAAAACATTCCCAGTGAGTTTTGGCTTTGACTATTTTGTACCTACTCAGGGCAGAGGGGCAGGAAAAAGGCCGAGGGAGGCTGAGAGACAGGATCGCTCCAGCGCGGCGGGCGGGCAGCTCTGCCGTGGACGAGGCTGGCCGAGGGTGAGGAAGCGACTTCCATTCGGTGTGGGCTCCTCGGCCCAGCCCCAGCCTGGCCGTCGCAGGCACCGGCTGCCACCTGGCTCCAGCTCCCTGCCCACGCCAAGCTTCCCTTTTGGCGCCATCCCTTTGTCCAAGATGGCCTTTAGGGCGGGGATGCCGCTGCCCCGGTCCAGAGGCCCAGTGGGCACAGCGCTGGTGCGTGGTGCGTG